CCCACAACTCCCGATCGGTGATGGGGCAGTTGTGGAGAGAGTGGAGAGTTTCCCGTACCTGGGCAGTGTGCTTATGACTGGCTCCAGTTTAACAGCAGAGGTCTCACTCCGAATCAGTCGAGCGGCAATATCTTTGCATCGGTTGCGTAACGCTGTGTGGAAGCTACCTGGTCTGTCGCTCCGCACTAAGCTTCAGGTCTTCTCGGCCACGGTCATTCCCTCCCTTCTCTACGCTTGCGAAACGTGGACCCCCCCTAATGGAACATCTTCGCCGGTTAGAAACATTTAGGCTGGCCTGTGTTTAACCAGACTGGATTGTGTGAGGAGCTCACAAATCCTTGAAAGATCTGGGCAAGGTCCCATCGGTGAGCTCCTCCGGCGGGCAAGGCTGCGATGGCTGGGTCATGTAGCCCGCATGCCCAGTCACCGTATGCCGAAACAGCTTTTGTTCGGCCGGATTGAGGGGGCAAAGCGGGCGCGGCACGGGCTAGAGAAGAGATGGAGTGATGTGGTACAGGAGGACGTGGAGCTGAGTGGACTTGCCGATGACTGGTACCAGCGGTGTCAAGATCGGCCTCTGTGGAGGAGGCTCATGAAGGATGCTACTGGGCAGTTGGAGGTAGTCGCCCTCCAACAACAACGGAGGGCGGAGGAGCGACGCTCACAACAACGAGCGGAGCACCGGGTGGCTAAAGCACAGCAGGTTGGCACAGTAGGGGGCACAGGTGGTGCATCAGCCAGTCATCTCAGTCAGTCGACCCGTGGCACCTGGGTCTGCCCGTGACCTCCTGCCAGCGGGCGTTCGAACACTTCACGTGGCCTCAGGGTGCACATAGCCTGGCACAAGCGTCGTGGTGACGTCACCGCCACTTGGTGGCGAATGGCGGTTGTTGTTGTTTTGTGTGTGTGAGTGTGTGTGTGCGAGTGTGTGTGTGCGAGTGTGTGTGAAGTGAGTGTGTGTGTGTGAGTGTGTGCGAGTGTGTGAGGTGAGTGTGTGTGTGAGTGTGTGCGAGTGTGTGTGAGAGTGTGTGTGAGTGTGCGTGTGTGTGTGTGAGTGAGTGTGTGTGAGTGAGTGTGTGAGTGAGTGTGAGTGTGTGTGCGTGTCAAGCGTTAAGTGAGAACCCGCGCTGTGAGCGACTGCACAGCCACTCAGCCTGGCAGCTCGATGCCAATGTGACGTCACCAACCGCCCAGACGGTGAAGTGGCGCTTGTTGTGGGGTAGAGTTGTGTCTGTGCGTGTGTGCGTGTGTGTCTGTGTGTGTGTCTGTGCGTGAGTGTGCGCGTGTCTGTGCGTGAGTGTGTCTGTGTGTGTGTGTGTGCGTGTGTGTGCGCGTGTGTGTGCGTGCGTGTCTGTGCGTGTCTGTGCGTGTGTGTGTGCGTGTGAGTGCGTGTCTGTGCGTGTGTCTGTGCGCGTGTCTGTGCGCGTGTGTGCGTGTGTGTGTGCGTGTGTGCGCGTGGTGTGCGCGCGTGTGTGCGTGCGCGTGTGTGAGCGCGTGTGGGCGCGGTGTGTGCGTGCGTGTGTGCGTGTATGTGCGTGTGTGTGTGTGTGCGTGCGTGTGTGTGCGTGTGTGTGTGCGTGTATGTGCGTGTGTGTGTGTGTGCGTGCGTGTGTGTGCGTGTGTGTGTGCGTGCGTGTGTGCGTGTGTGTGCGTGCGTGTGTGCGTGTGTGTGCGCGAGTGTGTGCGTGTGTGCGTGCGCGTGTGTGTGCGCGTGTGTGTGCGTGTGTGTGTGCGTGCGTGTGTGCGGTGTGTGCGTGTGTGTGCGTGTGTGCGTGTGTGTGGAGTGAGTGTGTGCGTGTGTGTGCGTGCGCGTGTGTGTACGTGTGTGTGTGCGTGTCTCTGCGTGTGAGTGCGTGTCTGTGCGTGTGTGTGTGCGTGTGTGTGCGTGTGTGCGTGTGTGTGCGTGTGTGCGTGTGTGTGCGCGTGTGTGCGTGTGTGCGCGTGTGTGCGTGCGCGTGTGTGTGTGTCTGTGTGTGTGTGTGTGCGTGTGTCTGTGCGTGTCTGTGTGTGTGTGTGCGTGTGTGTGTGCGTGTCACCACCGCCTGTCACCGCGCCTTCCCTTCTCCACGACGCTGCGTTCCTCCGCATGACGCGCAGTCCCCGGTCCAGGCGCCCAGTGAGGTCACCGTGAGCCGTGAATGGCGGTTGTGTTCGCCGTGTAACGCATGCAAGTGTTCTGTTCGCTAGCTTGCACGCACACACACGCACACACACGAGTTTGAGCGAACAGTTTCCACCGGTGCGTGTGGTTGTTGCCCTTTTTTAAAATGTGCAGTTGTCTCGGGTAAATATATAAACTAGAAACGAAGCTATTTGTTGTATTTTAGCAGGTAAGGCCCCACTCAGCTACGTAGAGTTTATTTTCAGAAGCAACCTGGCCATCACAAATGAGAGCTCAACGGAAGTGGCTCATCATCATGTACCATCACGTGGACATTTATAGCAGCCAAATACTCTAAACGCGTGGTGACGTTGATTCTAAATGCGGAGGCAAAAAAACCGGAGGACCTGGAGACAAATCCACACGACCGCGGGGAGAGAGAGAGACGCAAACTCCAAATACACAGCAGGTGTCAGGGTCAGACTAGAACCCACGACCTCCTGCATACCAGGCGAGGTAGTTAACATCTCCTAGCCACCGTGGCACCTGATATACTTCGCGTGAGCCCCGTGCGGTTTCTGTATATATCCGACTCAAGTGAGCACCGAGGCAGGGCTCACTTCCGTTTACAGCCCCCCTGAGCCGGCTGTGGAAATTACCCTATCCTCTGGCGGGGGCCGGTCTATCCATTTGTGATCATGACTGTCCCCGCTGAATTCCCACGCACACAAAAAGAAGTGGCACTCATCTTGTTAACCTTCCCTCCCCCCCCCCCCCCAATGGGATGATGGGGCTGAGTCAACCCCCAACCAGGATTTGAACTTCCGTGTCCCTCCGATGATTGCCAGCCGCTCGATCTGCCGCTGCTTGAGCCACCCGGAGGGTCCGCGTTTCTTTATTCTTTTGGTTCTGTATATGTACGTGAGTAGTCCACTTGTGTGTGGTGTGTGATGGGGAGCCGTGGTGCAGCGGTTAGCGCTGCGCTGCGTTACAAACCCGGCGACCCGAGTTTGATTCCCGCTCACGGCCACCAACGCCGATTACGATTATCTGAACAGGTCCTGGGCATCCCCTAGGTCGACTCAGCCTCAAATGAGTACCTGGTGCGGTGTGTAAACAAACAGACAAAGGCGGCCGGGCGTGGTGTTGGCCACCCACCCCCTCGTGTGCTGTGCCGGCCTTCATCGGTGCTCGTCAAAAGCGCTTACCCCAACAGTCTGTTACAAACTAAACGGGGGATCTTTGTGTGGTGTGTTTGTGTGTGTATGGATACGTGTGGTCGTTTTGAGTTTGTGTTTACAAGAATGTTCTTGGTCTTGGCCTTGTACAACAGAGCGTTATTTCTCTACAGACCTAAAGCGGCGAATCCAACTGGCAAAGCAGCTATTGTGACTTTAGCCCCGTTTTGGTGGTGAATGGGCGGACTGTTGTATGTGGTGAGTGTGTCTGTGTGTGAGTGTGATCTGTGTGTGTGCGAGTGTGTCTGTGTGTGTGAGTGTGTCTGTGTGTGTGTGCGTGTGTGCGTGTGCTGGAGCACAAGTGGGTAGACGGTGGGCACCCTGGGGGAGGTTGCACGCCCGTGTTTTCTTTCTGAGCGTGCGCGTTCTGTTCCTGTGCATTATGCATGCGTGTCCGCGTTGCATAATTTATAATACTTGGTCGCTGACAGCGAGGGCAGGCAGCTGTTTTGCTGCTGCCAGCGTGTGGGTTTGGGGCGGTGAGGGGTGAGGGGATGAGTTTGGTGAGTTTGGCGAGAGGGGTCAGTGAAAGGGGGTGGAGAGGGGTGAGTGGGTTGGTGGGTGGGCGGAGTAATTGGGTGAGCCAGTGAGTGAGTATATGGATCAGTGGGTGGATAAGTGAGTAGGTGAGTGAGCGGATTAGTGAGTCGGTGGGTGAGTGGCGTGGGTGGGTAAGTGGCCGGGTGAGTAGGTAAGTAAGTGGGTGGGTGAGTGAGTGGGTTAGTAGGTGAGTGAGTGAGCGAGTTTGGTGACTGTAGGTGAGTGGATGAGCGAGTGGGTTATTGGGTGAGTGAGTCGAGAGAGTTTGGTGACTGTGGGTGAGTGGTTAAGCGAGTGGATTATTGGGTGACTGAGTTGAGCGAGTAGTTGACTGTGGGTGAGTGGATGAGCGAGTGGGTTATTGGGTGAGTGAGTTGAGCGAGTTTGACTGTGGGTGAGTGGATGAGCGAGTTGGTTATTGGGTGAGTGAGTTGAGGCGAGTTGGTGACTGTGGGTAAGTTGGTAAGTAAGTGTGTGGGGTGATTGAGCGAGTTGGTGACTGTAGGTGAGTGGATGAGCGAGTGGGGTTATTGGGTGAGTAGAGCGAGTTGGGTGACTGTGGGTGAGTGGATGAGCGAGTGGGTTATTGGGTGAGTGACTTGAGCGAGATTCGGTGACTGTTGGTGAGTGGATGAGCTAGTGGGTTATTGGGTGAGTATGAGCGAGTTGGGTGACTGTGGGTGAGTGGATGAGCGAGTGGGTTATTGGGTGAGTTGAGTGAGTTTGGTGACTGTGAGTTGGTAAGTAAGTGGGTGGGTGATTGAGTGAGCGAGTTTGGTGTACTGTGGGTGAGTGTATGAGCGAGTGGGTTATTGGGTGAGTGAGTTTGAGCGAGTTGGTGACTGTGGGTGAGTGTATGAGCGAGTGGGTTATTGGGTGAGTGAGTTGAGCGAGTTGGTGACTGTGGGTGAGTGGATGAGCGAGTGGGTTATTGGGTGAGTAAGTTGAGCGAGTTGGGTGACCTGTGGGTGAGTGGATGAGCGAGTAGGTTAGTGGGTGAGTAGAGCGAGTTGGGTGACCTGGGTGAGTGAGTGGGATGGCCGGGGTAAGCAGGTGAGCGAGAGGGCGGTGGTGATTGTGGGCAGCCGGGAGTTGATCGTGCCGCCCGCGCCTGACCCCAGTGACCCCGGGCGGTCGAGCGAGCCAGGCCGGGCTGTGCCCCGGGGACGCCATCGTCTCCATCTGCGGGGCGGACGCCGCGGAGCTGACGCACGCCGAGGCGCAAAACAAAATCAAGACGTGCGGCGCAGTCCTGACTCTCCGGATCAACAGGTGATTACGTTTCCCTCCCTCACTCGCTCCCTAACTCTCGCGTGGATGTGAATCGAGTGACGGCTGTCAATCGGCCCCCGAATTGTGAATCCAGCCGCCCGCATTCAGAGCTCAGCTTATCGTGCACACCTCTCGTGACCTCCTCAATAGAACATCGCTCGAACTGAGTTTCACACGGAGACGCACAGACTGCATGGGAGATCCATAGACTCACACGGAGACCCACAGACTACCACAGAGGCCCGTTGATTACCGCAAAGTCGCGTGGGCGGGGTCTCGGCCAAGCGTCGTCCCGAGAAACTCCCTCGGCACGACGGGACGGAGCGCGGTGGCTGCTGCTGTGAGCGCCCGGGAGAGGAGTGGGGGGGGGAGGTTGTGGCGGGAGCCGGCGTGTGGCGCGTGACGCGGGACGCGGGACGCGTGGCGTGGTTGTTGCGCTCCGCTGCCTGTCTGTTGAATCTTGCACGCGTGGAATGCAAGGCGAACTTGTCACGTCATGTCTCTGTGTGTGCGTTCGACCTACGCAGGGTTGCCATTGGCCTGTGAGCGCAGGGCTTTTTGTTCGTAGGGCTGTGTGTGTGTAGGGATGTTTGTGTACGAGAAGGAGCGCGGCTGGCAGTTTCGAGGAGTCGCGCCCTCCAGCAACAACCAAGGGCAGACGAGGAGGAGGGGGGGAGTGACGCTCACAACAATGACAGAGCGCCGGGCTGATTAAACGCAGCGAGTTGGCACAGTATCGGGAGTGCAGGTGGTGCATCTGCCAATCATCTCAATCGGTCAACCCATGGCACCTGGTCTGTTCCTAGTGATCTCCTGCTTGCGAGCCTTCCACACTTTCACTATGCCTCAAACTGCGCCTAGCTCACAGCCAACATCAGTGACAATTATCTGAACCGGTCCTGGGCTTACCGTAGGTCGACTCAGCCTTAAAACATATTCCTGCGGAGGGAGCTGGTAGGAAGGTTGGGTTGCTCGGTCAATGGTCAGGGGTCAACCGGCACCACGTGGTGTATTCCGCAAATATGCCCGACTGTGAGGGCGGGCACAAGCCGGCATGAGTAGGTTACACGTTGAGTTTATAAGGGCACCACGGGGTGACCAGCCCCTCCCCACCCAGCCCACCCCTCCCACCCTCCCCACCCAGCCCCACCCCTCCCACCCTCCCCACCCAGCCCCTCCCCACCCTCCCATCCAGCCCCTCCCCACCCTCCCCTCTCCACCGACCCAGCCCCTCCCCACCCTCCCCTCTTCATCCAGCCCCACCCCTCCCATTTTATCCGGGTGTCCGGATACACGTGGACAGACATCCACAGACATACACAATTAATCCCCTGCCTCCTGTGATAATCCCGGTTGGGCTTCCAGTCCACTACGTTTCCTACCAGTAATGTCCACTAGGAGCGCATTTGTTATATATCCAGGTGTCCGGATACACGTGGACAGACATCCACAGACATACACAATTAATCCCCTGCCTCCGTGAATTAATCCCGGTTGGGCTTCCAGTCCACTACGTTTCCTACCAGTATGAGTACCTGGTGCAGTGTGTTTAACATTGCCACTAGGGAGACGAAGGTGGCCAGGCGTGGTGCTGTCCACCACATCCACTCGTGTGCCATTCGGCTTTTATAGGTGCTACTCGCTAAGAGCACTTGCCCCAACGATCTGTTAAAGGCTATACAGGGGGGGGGGGGATCTTTATCTTTGTGGTGCCACAAGGAGTATGTCATCATGTTTATGTCGTGTGTGGGTACAGACCGTATTGCTCATGGAGCAGCTATGTGCTCACAGAACATACAGACGTTAGCACCTGCAATGCACGCGCAAACTGATGAGCTACTCCAGCTGCGTGAAATTTGGAATAGATGCAATAAACACACCGAGGAAACAATTGGCTTGTGCAAATGTAATGAGTGGTGGTAAACCCTTGCCTGGTCTTGTACGTAGGTCTCGGCCGTTCCCGCTGGGCTAATTGGCGTTGCTGGTGGTGGTACAGGAATGCGTGCAAAGGGAGGGGGGGAAGAGTTGTTTTCAACAATGATAATACAAAAACAACAACAACGGTGTTTGTTTGCCTACGACGGACGGCGCTCGGGAGACACGGGCCCCCCCCCCCCCCACCACTGCAAGGGTTACGTGGCAGACGGAAATGCACAACAATTTGCCGAAAACCCACACTCGCAGGAACAACAATCTACCGAAAACCCACACTCGCAGGAACAACAATTTACCGAAAACCCACAATCGCAGGAACAATAATCTACCGAAAACCCACACTCACAGGAACAAAAATCTACTGAAAACCCACACTCGCAGGCACAACAATCTACCGAAAACCCACACTCGCAGGAACAACAATTTACAGAAAACCCACACGCGCAGGAACAATAATCTATCGAAAACCCACATTCACAGGAACAACAATCTACTGAAAACCCACACTCGCAGGCTGAACAATCTACCGAAAACCCACACTCGCAGGCACAACAATCTACTGAAAACCTACACTGGCAGGAACAACAATCTACTGAAAACCCACACTCGCAGGCACAACAATCTACCAAAAACCCACACCTGCAGGAACAAGAATCTACCGAAAACCCACACTCGCAGGCACAACAATCTATCGAAAACCCACACTCGCAAGCACAACAATCTACCAAAAAACCCACACTCGCAGGCACAACAATCTACCCAAAAACCCACACTCACAGGAACAACAATCTACCAAAAACCCACACTCACAGGAACAACAATCTACCGAAAACCCACACTCACAGGCACAACAATCTACCAAAAACGCACACTCGCAGGAACAACGATCTACCGAAAACCCACACTCGCAGGCACAACAATCTACTGAAAACCTACACTAGCAGGAACAACAACCTACCGATAACCCACACTCGCAGGAACAACAATCTACCGAAAATCTACACTCGCAGGCACAACAATCTACTGAAAACCCACACTCGCAGGAACAACAATCTACCGAAAATGCACACTCGCAGGAACAACAATCTACCGAAAACCCACACTCGCAGGCACAACAATCTACCAAAACCCATACTCGCAGGCACAACAATCTACCGAAAACCCACACTCACAGGAACAAACATCTACCGAAAACCCACACTCGCAGGCACAACAATCTACCGAAAACCCACACTCGCAGGAACAATAATCTACCAAAAACCCACACTAGCAGGCACAACAATCTACCGAAAACCCACACTAGCAGGCACAACAATCTACCGAAAACCCACACTATCAGGCACAACAATCTACCGAAAACCCACACTCGCAGGCAAAACAATCTACCGAAAACCCACACTCGCAGGGACAACAATTTACAGAAAACCCACACTCGCAGGCACAACAATCTACTGAAAACCTACACTAGCAGGACAACAACCTACCGATAACCCACACTCGCAGGAACAACAATCTACCGAAAACCTACACTCGCAGGCACAACAATCTACTGAATACCCATACTCGCAGGAACAATAATCTACCGAAAACGCACACTCGCAGGAACAACAATCTACCGAAAACCCACCCTCGCAAGCACAACAATCTACCAAAAACCCACACTCGCAAGCACAACAATCTACCGAAAACCCACACTCACAGGAACAACAATCTACTGAAAACCCACACTCGCAGGCAAAACAATCTACCGAAAACCCACACTCGCAGGGACAACAATTTACAGAAAACCCACACTCGCAGGCACAACAATCTACTGAAAACCTACACTAGCAGGAACAACAACCTACCGATAACCCACACTCGCAGGCACAACAATCTACCGAAAACCCACACTCGCAGGCAAAACAATCTACCGAAAACCCACACTCGCAGGGACAACAATTTACAGAAAACCCACACTCGCAGGGCACAACAATCTACTGAAAACCTACACTAGCAGGAACAACAACCTACCGATAACCCACACTCGCAGGAACAACAAATCTAACCGAAAACCTACACTCGCAGGCACAACAATCTACTGATACCCATACTCGCAGGAACAATAATCTACCGAAAACCCACCCTCGCAGGCACAACAATCTACCAAAAACCCACACTCGCAGGCACAACAATCTACCGAAAACCCACACTCACAGGAACAACAATCCACTGAAAACCCACACTCGCAGGCACAACAATCTACCGAAAACCCACACTCGCAGGAACAATAATCTACCGAAAACCCACACTAGCAGGCACAACAATCTACCAAAAACCCACACTAGCAGGGACAACAATCTACCGAAAACCCACACTAGCAGGCACAACAATCTACCGAAAACCCACACTCGCAGGCACAACAATCTACTGAAAACCCACACTCGCAGGAACAATAATCTACCGAAAACCCACACTGGCAGGAACAATAATCTACCGAAAACCCACACTCACAGGGACAAAAATTTACAGAAAACCCACACTCGCAGGAACAACAATCTACCGAAAACCCACACTCGCAGGCACAACAATCTACCAAAAACCCACACTCGCAGGAACAACAATCTACCGAAAACCCACACTCGCAGGAACAACAATCTACCGAAAACCCACACTCGCAGGAACAATAATCTACCAAAAACCCACACTCGCAGGCACAACAATCTACTGAAAACCCACACTCGCAGGCACAACAATCTACCAAAAACCCACACTCGCAGGCACAACAATCTACCGAAAACCCGCACTCGCAGGAACAATACTCTACCGAAAACCCACACTAGCAGGCACAACAATCTACCGAAAACCCACACTCGCAGGCAAAACAATCTACCGAAAACCCACACTCGCAGGGACAACAATTTACAGAAAACCCACACTCGCAGGCACAACAATCTACTGAAAACCTACACTAGCAGGAACAACAACCTACCGATAACCCACACTCGCAGGAACAACAATCTACCGAAAACCTACACTCGCAGGCACAACAATCTACTGAATACCCATACTCGCAGGAACAATAA